AGACAATGAACATGTTTTTCAATCCAAAAGTTGAACCTCATCTTTGAAAGCATGGTGTGTTGATTCAGGAGCTATGAGTCACATGACAAAGACAGAAATTTCTTTATTCACCTTGACCAGAATAAAACTGAAAAAAATCACCACAGCTTGTGGGCAAATAATAGAATCAGAAGGAATGGGAGATGGTTTTCTTTACTGTCCTATTTCTCAGACTGTCACCAGAAAGATTCTTGTGAAAAATATAGTATATGTCCCTGCTATTGAAACTCATCTTTTGTCAGTGAAGAAGCTCACAAAACAGAGCAATATAATGACCTCCAAAGGGGTAGTTGTTTTATCACAAAAGAGGATGTAAAGGCTAAAATTACAGATAAAGTGTATCAGCTGAACTGCAATCGGTAATACTGCCAAGGAGGAAACACATTCAAACTGCATTTGTATATGGCACAGATGACTAGGGCACAGAAGTCCTGATATAATAAAGAAATTAACTGAGAAAGAATATCCAAGTGGAATAAAAGAAGAAACCAGGGCACAAGAAATTTCAATCAGGAGATCCACCAGAAGCAATAAAGGCATCCCAGCCAAACGTCTCTCCTATATTGCTTGCAAAGCATTAAAACCCAGAGATGGGAAGGAGAATCCAATAGACACTGCAGCCACCACCCTGATCTGCCAGCACAGCTGGAGCTAGAGTCTCGGCAGCTCCAGTATCAGCCCTTTAGAGAGCCAATGCTAAAGCCACAGCAGCAGCAGTAGCTCTGTGGACAGTCAGGACAGCAAAAAGAAGAGGAAGAAGAAGGACAAGAAGAATCCTAAGAAACAGGAAACGAAACTGAAAGCAGAAATTGAACTGTTATAAGGAGTAGTTGTTGAGTGGGGGCATTGGCATACATATTAGAAGATATTCTGTATTGCAACAACTACAATTATTCAGTCAGTTGATGGCAGTATTTAGTTTGCATCTATGGTTATAATCCATGGTTCCTTTTGTTCTGTGGAGAGTTTTTCCCCTGACAGCTGAAACCATTAAGCAACAAAGCCCTAGTGGCTGTACACTTCATGTCTTATTTGATCTGAATGGCTGTATGGCTATGTAATCATCCTCTGTTACTAATCTGTATGGCTACAGAATAATCCTCTGCTACCATTTTTATAGAATCAAACACCTAGACAGTGCAAAGACTGCTGTATACAGCAAAAAAAATTGCTGCCCAAAGATTCCTTTCTGCCATGGGAAGGAAGCTGCAAACCACATGCATGCTTGCGGGCCAGAGTAAGCTAGCTGTGTCTGGATTCAGGGCAGCAGCAAGACAGAGGAACCATGGACAGCCAGTCTGCCTGGCTTCCTGTGATAGGGAGGGAGGGACTCAGTAGCACAAGTTAATGTCATTCCCATCTTTCCCCCTTACTCTTTTTTTCACCATTGTTTCATCATGGAAATTTTCTTTGCTACTTTTTTTATTTCTTCCTTCCTGAGATTATTTTTGGTCTTCCTGGAGTTAAACATTTTTATTTCTGATATGGGCTTGGTTTTCTTTGTCTCATTCAACCTCATTAGTCTCTCCTCTTATCATTCACTTCACTTGTATATTTAGCTTCTAATGAAAGGAAATTCATGGGTCTTTGGGGAAATAGTCACATTTGCACTGCATACTAACAATATTAAGTAAGTCAGTAATAGGTAGTAATAGTTGCCATCATATTACAGACCTACTCCAACATTCACAATCCACCCAATTAGATAATATAAAGTCTGCTTGGTCTATTTCAATGACAAATGCACATTTAAATAACATAACTTGAAAAAGACAGATATTTAATGTTTATTTTGCAAGTACACAATTACATATGTATTAACATGTTTTAGAAGAAGTGTTTTAATTAAAACAAATAAAAAACTCTACAGCTTATTCTGGAACAAAATAGAATTTTGAGAGGCGCAGTGGCACAGTGGTTAGAATGCAGTACTGCAGGGTACTTCTGCTGTTTGCCGACTGCCAGCAGTTTGGCAGTCTCACCCGGCTCAAGGTTGACTCAGTCTTCCATCCTTCCGAGGTGGGTAAATTGAGGACCCAGATTGATGGGGACAATATGCTGACTCTGTAAACCACTTAGAGAGGGCTGTAAAGCGTTATGAAGTGGTATATAAGTCTAAGTGCTATCGCTATTCTGAGTAAAATCTGTAAAAGTATTACAGACCTTCTTTGAACTGTAGGTCCAGGCTCACCTCTTAGACTTCTGACTTTCTCTCTTCTTTCCAAAGCTCTATCCTGCATACTATTTCTGCCCTGAGTAGAATGCTGATTTGCTTATATTTAATTTGATAGCAGTGGTTATTATTTTTACAAATACTTTTATTATATGTCATAAACAAGCATTAAAATACAAACTAACATAAATGGATTAATAAAATAGAAGCTCTTCAAATTGTTTAGACATAAAAAGCAGATGCTATTGCACCAGCCCATTAAAAGCTCAATTTCATAGGAACTGGGGAATATATATATCTTCTGTGCAAATATTATATTAATTGAAAAGAACTACAGGTGAAACTCGAAAAATTAGAATATCATGCAAAAGTTCATTTATTTCAGTAATGCAACTTAAAAAGTGAAACTAATTTATGAGATAGACTCATTACATGCAAAGCAAGACAGTTCAAGCCATGATTTGTCATAATTGAGATGATTATGGCTTACAGCTCATGAAAATTCCAAATCCACAATCTCAGAAAATTAGAATATTGTGAAAAGGTTCAATATTCTAGGCTCAAAGTGTCCCACTCTAATAAGCTAATTAAGCCATAACACCTGCAAAGGATTCCTGAGCCTTAAAATGGTCTCTCAGTCTGGTTCAGTAGGAATCACAATCATGGGAAAGACTGCTGACCTGACAATTGTGCAGAAAACCATCACTGACACCCTCCAGAAGGAGGGAAAGCCTCAAAAGGTAACTGCAAAAGAAGTTGGATCTTCCCAAAGTGCTGTATCAAAGCACATTAATAGAAAATTGTGTGGAAGTGAAAAGTGTGGAAGAAAATGGTGCACAAGCAGCAGGGATGATTGCAGCCTGGAGAGGATTGTCAGTAAAAGGCCATTCAAAAGTGTTGGGGACTTTCACAAGGAGTGGACTGAGGCTGGAGTCAGTGCATCAAGAGCCACCACACAGACAGATCCTGGACGTGGGCTTCAAATGTCGTATTCCTCTTGTCAAGCCACTCCTGAACAAAGAAACACAGAACTGGTCTGTTGCTCACTGGTCCAAAGTCCTCTTTTCTGATGAGAGCAACTTTTGCATCTCATTTGGAAACCAAGGACCCAGAGTCTGGAGGAAGAATGGAAAGGCACACACTGCAAGATGCTTGAAGTCCAGTGTGAAGTTTCCACAGTCTGTGTTGATTTGGGGAGCCATGTCATCCATTGTGCTTCATTAAATCCAGGGTCAACACAGTCATCTACCAGGAGATTTTGGAGCACTTCCTTCCACAGACGAGCTTTATGGGGATGCTGACTTCATTTTCCAGCAGGACTTGGCACCTGCCCACACTGCCAAAAGCACCAAAACCAGGTTCAATGACCATGGGATTACTGTGCTTGATTGGCCAGCAAACTCACCTGACCTGAACCCCATAGAGAATCTATGGGGCATTGCCAAGAGAAAGATGGGAGACATGAGACCGAACAATGCAGAAGAGCTGAAGGCCGCTATTGAAGCATCCTGGTCTTTCCTAACACCCCAGCAGTGCCGCAGGCTGATAACTTCCATGCCACGACACATTGAGACAGTAATTGCTACAAAAGGGGCCCAAACCAAGTTCTGAGTACATATGTATGCTTATAGTTTTCAGAGGTCCGATATTATTCTATGTATAATCCTTGTTTTATTGATTGCATGTAATATTCTAATTTTCTGAAATTGTGGATTTGGGGTTTTCATGAGCTGTAAGCCATCATCTTCACAATTATGATAAATCATGGCTTGAACTATCTTGCTCTGCATGTAATGAGTCTATCTCATATATAAGGTTCATCTTTTAAGTTGCATTACTGAAATAAATGAACTTTTGCACGATATTCTAATTTTTTGAGTTTCACCTGTATGTGAGAAAAATTAGAATGCAAAATGTTAAAATAGAGAAACAAAATATGCATGTCTGTAGTGTTCATTTTTACTAAATGTTTCCATGGCTAGTTAGAAATTATAGGATGTGAAACAGGATTCTGAGGTTCAACACAAAATGCAATTTTTCACATACAAACTTTTCAAAGCTGGGTTTCATACTACACAGTTTCCAACTCATGTAGTTCTAAAGTAACTGTAGAAATTCACAATGAATTTTTGACTCAAATTCTGGTTACATTTTGTAGAGCTGTTATTCAGACAGGATAAAGAATGGTAGCTGTGGTTCATATTAAGTGGGTACAATATGTGCTTGAAGGAAATATATGTACAAGCCAGACTTTGATTTGAAAATTGTTGGTGAAAGACTGTCAATCAAAAATTCACCATCCAAGGGCCACTTGTGTTTTGCCACTCAGTCTAACCTCCTTCACAGAGTTCTCATATGATGAAGACAACATTAGCCCATTCACAGGGTCTTGACCTCTTAGGAGTAGGTCTGGATGTCTATGAAATAAATAAAATAGTTTTTAAAAAGCACTCAAACAGCAGATTGAAGTTAACATGTATCTTCATCAGTGCCTGACTGAAGAACTACTTGCAGCCCTTTAAGCTATTTTAAGTTCTGTTTTAAAAAAAACTGTAATAAGAGGAAATCATATCAATTTTCCCTCTTGCTGCTCTGTGTGGCTGATTTTGTTTAGTTCTCAGTATAGTGTGCTAAAAGCCATCTTGTTTGACCAAATATCGCATTCATATCTGCTAACCACAAGCTACAACCACAAGTTGAGGGAAGGCCTATGTTTATCTTTCCAACTTGCAAAACATAAGCTTATTTCTAATCTCTCTTTTGAAGAAATGACTTCTGGGTGAAAAAAAAAACTTCTCTAAAAGGTCACGTGTGCTTATCACAGCAGCTAGGACTCTAGTGGTGGAACATCCCACAAACTGAATAGCCCATGCCAAATAATCAAGTTTCAAAGTAAGTGCAACATAAAAAAGAGCAATCCAGTCCTTGAGGATTTATTAACGTGCAACGGAAAGAAGATCAGAGGAAGATCTAATCTGACGGACTGCTTACACACAAAATGGAGAATCCGTTGGTTTTATCCTCTCAGCTCAACTCGGCATCAAGAGTGAAAACTCTCTGTAAAATCATGAAATCCTTGAATAGAGAAGGGGCAAAGCCAGACACAGGAAACAGGTAAGAGACTGAATGTTCATTATTTTTTGATTTTCTTGCTCAGTGTGAAAAACAACAAAATGCCTGAGTCCAGATTCCATTCCACCACTCAGGGCAGAAATAGCATGTAGGATAGAGCTTTGAAAAGAAGAGAGAAGGCCAGAAGTCTAAGAAGCGAGCACTGACGTACAGTTCAAAGAATGGAAAGAAATGATGAGGGAGGGAATAAATTCCATTGAGCCTTTTGCAGCTAAAGGGAAGATAAGAGCATGTTCTTGTTTCAATACAAGCTTTATTCAATCCTTACACCCTCCCCTCCAAAAAAAAAAAAAATCAAGATGTAGTGAAGAGTCTGCAGTCATGCAAAAATTACTATTTCTTATTGCAGGTAACAAATGTTGACAAATGCAGAAACTGGTACACATTTGGTTCAATGCATAGAGTGAAGTGAAAAACTTTTGAAAATATCTACATATTTTAGGGTTTTTGGGGGAGGGGGGTGCCAATCCACAGAAAAAGCATACTACTGAAAGGGTCTGTTAAAATCCGAATGTTATTTATTTATTTAGAATGTTTGTATAGCTTCCCAACTCCAACAATGCAACTCTGAAAGAGTAGAAAATGTTTAAATAAAAATATGAAAGAAAATGAACTGTGTTTTTTTCAAGCAAACACAAGCTATTCAGTTAATTGGCTTAGAAGTTGTTTTATAAAGAGGCCAGTATATCTATCCGATGAAGAGCAAAATAAAACAATGCAGTAACAGTTTAAATGGTTCCAAATCACTGAGATCAGAATTCAGTAGAGATATGTGTTCCTCCTTTTGAAGACAAAATGAAAGATGTTTAGCTAATTCATAATCAGAACTAAAGATCTCTCTACAAAACTATCATAAGATCTGGTATCAGGGATAAGCATCACAAAGTACCTGCCCACAGACAAAAGCATCCCCTCTCCCAAAATAAAAATATGGATGTTAACATTGGTAAGAGTCAAAATAAGTGGTTATCAACTCAGATCAATGTGTCCTTTAGGCAGAAAACAACATTCCCTATCTTGATTAAATTCAACTTTAGTGATGTGTATTTGTTAAAGAATCTGTCTCAGAACACTAGTCTCCATTCTGACTGCCAACAATACTGAGAAAATGTGAAGTGGAAAACATATTACTTCTGCCTATTGAAGGACCGGTTCTTTGAAACACAATTAAGAAATAATTTAGTTAATTTAATTTAATGATCCTCCAATACCATTTGATTTTCTTTAAGTGCTGCTCTGAAATCCTGCATGGCAATTGAGCATTGTTTTTCCCCCCCAAGTATCTAAACCCAATACGTGATGATGTTTCCTTGTCTGCCAGTCTATTTTATTGTATTGTATTTAGGATGCCCCGTATCTTCCTTGCAAACTGTCGTGATGGACGGGATCCAGTGATTCCAAAACTTTGCTCCCTTTCTCACACTATGAACTCTGGTAGCACAACATTTCTAAAAAATTGCAACAAAGAACTACACCTCTTGGCTGGATTTTATGATTGCTTCCAGTCAAAGAGAAAAAAAAAGATCATTTACAGCAGTGCCTAGGAGTAGTCCAGGTTTTATCAAGTTTTGCTGGTGTGTGGCTATTCACATTAAAAAGGTATGCCAACATGGGATCATCCTTACAGATCCTAGAATGTCAGCATAGAGTGGCAAATGAAACCTGCAACATAATTGCAATGCAAATATTCTATGTTCAAGATTCCAGTAATTTTCATTATTCCATGCCTGGGGCACATATTCAGGCCTCATGATATCATCATACTGATTCTCTTTTAGTCATTTTCCCCCCCTTTAAATATTTGCACTCTTGCAAATTTTGGATTTCCTGTAAGCCTGCTAACACTTCCGTACTGGGCACAACTGATAGCTGGTGCATTTTGGTTATGTAAACAGCAGCACTCATATCTTTCACACTGGAAAGTGAGGAAGTGGTTTCTTGTTTATATATATGATGATTTGAATAAATACAAAGAATCCACACATGCAAAGTAGTAGACAAACGTCAGTCTTGTGATGTTTAATAATAATACTTGAAAACACACACACACACACACAAACACAAAACCTTAGTTACATTGTTATGGTAGACTGTGGTGTAATGTATAAATAATGAATATTGATTGAATACTTAAAAATTTCAAAGTTCTTTGATTATTTTTAAAAAATTAGTTTGTAAAGTGTCATGTTGGGTATTATGTATATAAAGCTAAATGTTTTCCTAAACACTTACAGGATTGCTTTTCTTTGGTGGTCTATCCAAATCTGTCAGATTGGCATGTTCTGTGTCTTCTGGGTGACCAATGTCACTGGTGGAACCTACGAACTGTGCCTTCTCTGCCATGTTACCTGCCTTATTTTCAGCCCATTGAGATTGTCCACATCATGAAATAAACTCCACAAAATAGCAATAGCAATAGCACTTAGACTTACATACCATTCCATAGCACTTTGTAGCACTCTCTGCGTGCTTTACAATGTTAGCATATTACCCCCCAACAATCTGGGTCCTCATTTTACTGACCTTGGAAGAATGAAAGGCTGAGTCAACTTTGAGCTGGTCATGATCAAATTCTAAACTGTGGGCAGAGGTGGCCTGCAATAATGTATTCTAACCACTGAACCACCACAGTTGCTAGAATAAAACTTAGCTTCATTGAGATACACTCTATGGACAGAGTGTGCTTTTCCTCTCTCAATATTCATTAAGTTTTAGGAAATGACTCAGGCTGGCTCTTCACTGAATCTATACCTTAGTTTTTTTCGTAAAACTTAATGAATACCTCTGTCTTTTCTTCTTTTTGTAACAGTTTCTGAATATTTCCATCAAGACCGTCTCTATATTCCTTGTTATAGAACAGTTTTTCCTCCCTCCCCACAGAGATAGTCCTGACTTGCCAGGCTTCAAGAAAGCCATGAATATTTGATTCTCCCACCCCCAGGCATTGGGGCTAGATTATTATGGGACCCAGCATTGTGCATGTGCTATGTGGGCAAGAAATTTCTTACAAGGACCTTGATAAATTGGATTTGAATGTACATTGTATTTTTATCCACTGTTCATTGTTCCATTGCTTAGATAGACAGCCGTATAAATTTGTTAAATAAATAAGCAAGGTTTGATGCCATCTAGAAGCTTTGGATGCAATACCTCGAATTATCAAGCTGCATGGTAATATTTCGGGAGAACCAGGTTGTACCAGTTAAATACACAACCTGTATTCAACTCTCCAAACTTTGACTATGGTCTCCAGAAAACTTTGCTATTTATAATGAAAAAAAAGGATGAAATTCTGAAATGCTTGAACATTAGATTAAATGTCATCAGATTAAATGTAACTGAGGTTTAGCTTTTTGTACTTTCCTTTTTGTAAGTCAAGGATGCTACTCAGATGCCAAATGTTGTATCCATAAAAATAGATGTATACACCTATGAATACATTACTTCTCTTTTTCTATATTCATTATAGTAACTAAAATACAATACAAATAATATGGTACAAGAGAGCTAAGGTTATACATCAGGATAAAAACTGGGAGACTATGAGTTCTAGTTCCTCCTTAAGTATGAAGCCAGCTGGATGACTGTGAGCCAATCACCTTCTCTCAGTTCTACAAAGCAGGCAATCACAAACTACTTTTGAAAAATCTTGTCAAGAAAACTTCAGGGGCTTGTTCAGACAGTCAACAGGAGTTAATGCTGACAAGAAAGCATAAAAAAATAGTGGTGCAAGGGGAAAAAAAGTCCTAATACTAGTTTTAATGGATGGGTGGTTTGGCTAAAAGTTCCACCTCCATTTGTTGTTGTCCCTTGAGATGATAGCATTCTACTTGTACAAATCCTATGATATGGCAACCAAGGAATCAGGAACAGAGGAATGGAAAGCCATTATTATACCACATCATCACCCACTTTGCATCATTCAATATTATCAAAGCAAGCAGCACTTTCTGTGGCAGTGATATACTAGCTAATACATTTAAATGTCATTGAATGCATCATGAAATGTGTTTCGTTTTAATCATTTCAGCTACTGAATTTCCTCTTCTGTTATCTGATTTTATACAGCACAGTATCAGAAGCTCATGATCTCAGCCTGCCTTCACTGAGATTAAACCTATTCCTTCCCCCTCTCAAGTCCCTACTGATCTTGTCACCAAAGTAAATGTGAAAGACTATCAACATGAAAAGATGTTCATTTACCCTTTGCAGATGATTCTGTATGTAAAAATATTCAGAGGTGTAAGTGAGAAATCTATTATTCTCTCCTGCAAATGGGAAAATAACATCAACATTTATGGAATCATATGTGAAAGGGAAACAATGAGCTTTGCAGAGCACTCTAAGCTGGTAAAAGAGAAATGCTTGAAAATCTTACTGCAGTAACATTCATTTTCTTGTAGGTCTCTTGAAAAGAGGAATCGGCTAAGTTACTCGCATAAGTCTGAATTGCACCCAAATATGAATTTTGACAAATTTGAACAACTAGCAAAAGCATCAAGGTGAGACCTGTTTTGGAATGAATATATATACATACATATATGCATACATATAAATATAACAGGAAATTGTGTTTTGTTTTGTTTTTCTATTGAGAAAGTTTCATAAAAGTTTTAATGAGTAAGATATAGATGTTCCTTCTACTTATTGTAATAAGATGATCATCAAGGGAGGGTTTCTTTTTAGCTAAATCTCCAAGTTTAAACCACATGATATGGACTTCATGATATGGTGATAGCATAGCTCCACCAGGACAGGTTGGCATAGATAGGGTATATTCAACAACTATTAGTATCACTTTACTACAATGAAAGATGTTCAAAAACCCCACCTCTAAAATGCTAAAGGAACTTGCAAGCAAAAAAGGCAAAAATAGAAAAATTAAAGAACTGAAACATTTGAGGGTAAATGCGGGAGAGGTGTCAGCATAGTACTGATATGATGCTTCATCACCATGTTTTGATAGAGATTAGGAACATCTTTCAGTTCCTTTGCACCATTGTGCAGCTTAGTGATGGTCTCGTCAAAGATGGATACATGAACGTATCATGCTTATGAGATCTCACAGAATTTTTGAAATTCTTAATAGAATTCTTCTAGTTTTTTGAAAAAAAGTCTTTTTTTTTTTTGCAGGATCCTCATCTTCCCACAATCCTTTTTGTTCTGTTGTTTAGTTTGATTTTGTGCCTATTTCTTTCTTTTCTATATGTGTTTTGTAAAAATGGTAAATGTAAGATATCAATTGGCTTAATACTTCAATTCAAACCATTTTTCACCCAGCATACTGGCTCGGGAGTTCTGGTAGTTGAAATCCATGCATCTTAATGTTTCTGATATTAAGAAATATTGCCTTAATTTATTAATTGTCACATATTCTTTGCATAGGCTTATTTTTCTCAGTGTACATACCTTTATGAAATCTGCTTTTTATATGTGTATATTTTCAGCTATAGGTTCACTGACATTCTGAAGACTAGTCTACAGTTCAGTGTCCCCTTCTATAAAATGGATAAATATTTGTGAATTGGCTTCTGATTTATATTAAAAAAGACATTAAAAAGTCCTCCACTTACAACCACAATTAGGATCAGAATTTTCACTGCTAAGTAAAGCTGTTGTTAAGGGAATCTTACCTGATTTTATGAACATTTTTGCTATGGTTGTTAAGTGTAAAGGACCACTATATTGCTACAGAAATGCATGAAACCAAAGATGAAAACCTCCTAGAAAGCATATGGGTCAATATAAAAGAAAAAAAGAATGACATGGCCATAGGCGTATGTTATAGGCCACCCAATCAAGCAGAAAAAATAGATGTCCTTTTTGCCAACCAACTAACAAACATATGCAGGAAACACACAACAATAGTAATGGGAGATTTCAATTATCCTGATATCAATTTGAAAACTAATTCTGCACCAAGTGAGAAATCAAATAAGTTCCTAACCAACCTAGCTGACAACTTTGTTGTCCAAAAAGTAGAGGGTGAAACTAGAGGGACAGCCATACTGGACTTAATTCTTACAAACAGAGAAGAAGTGATAGAGAGAGTTGAAACTGCAGGAAACTTGGGTGAGAGTGACCATGTCATACTAGAATTCAACATAACACAAACACAAGCAACAGAACATAATGACACCAGAGTCTTGGATTTTAAAAGAGCTGATTTCAATAGACTCAGAGAGAACTTGGGAAAGATTCCATGGATGAAAATCCGAAAGGGGAAAACAACTCAAGAATCTTGGGAAACTCTAAAAAGTATGATCATAGAAGCCAAGACCAGCACAATACCACTGAGAAAGAAAAACAAGAAATCCAAGAAGAAACCATCATGGCTACACAAAGATCTCTTTGGCAAATTGAAAGAAAAAAAGGACAAGTACAAAAAATGGAAAGAAGGACATACAACTAAGGCAGAATATCAGCAGATAGCCAGAATCTGCAAAGACGAAGTCAGGATAGCAAAGGCTCAGAACGAACAAAGACTTGTAACAAAAGTCAAAAATAATATAAAAAAGTTTCTTCCAACATATAAATAACAAGAAAAAAATCAAGGAAACAGTCGGTCCACTAAAAAGAGAAGATGGCAAGGAAGTAACAGGCAACAGAGAGAAAGCAGAACTAATTAACTCATTCTTTGCCTCTGTCTTCACACAAAAAGAAACTATAGCTCAACCCACCAAAAACATAACTGTAAAAGATAGACCAGAAATAAAAGTTAAAATGAGCAAAAAAAATAGTAAGAGAACACCTGTCTGATCTTGATGAAAACAAATCACCGGGGCCTGATGGATTACATCCCAGAGTTTTAAAGGAGCTGGCAGAGGTCATCTCAGAACCACTGCACCATATCTTTCAAAAATCCTGGAGCATTGGGGAACTACCAGAGGACTGGAAAAGAGCTGATGTGGTTCCCATCTTCAAAAAAGGGAAAAAAAACCAGACCCAGGAAACTATAGACCAATCAGCCTAACATCAATACCCGGGAAGATACTGGAAAAGATAATAAAAAAACAGATGTGCCAACATCTAGAAACAAGTAAAGTAATAACTACAGTTAGCATGGGTTTGTTAAAAGCAGATCATGCCAAACCAATCTTATTTCATTCTTCAACATAGTGACTAAATTAGTAGACCAGCAAAATACTGTGGACATAATATATTTAGATTTCAGCAAGGCATTTGATAAAGTAGACCACAACCTACTTCTTAGTAAGCTAGAAAAAAGTGGAATAGATAGCACCACCACTAGATGGATTTGCAACTGGCTGGCAAACTGTACTCAATGAGTAGTCCTTAATGGGTCTAAGTCTACATGGAGGGAAGTAAGCAGTGGGGTGCCACAAGGTTCCGTCTTAGGCCCAGTACTCTTCAATATCTTCATTAATGACTTAGATGAGGGAATAGAAGGGGAACTTACCAAATTTGCAGATGATACTAAGCTAGCAGGAATAGCTCACACCCAAGAAGATAGGCTCAAGATCCAGATGGATCTTGACAGACTAGAACACTGGGCCATATCTAATAAAATGAAATTCAATATAGAGAAAAGTAAAGTCCTACACTTAGGCAAGAAAAACCAAAAATACACATATAGACTGGTTGAAACCAGGCTCAATAGCTGTAACTGTGAGGGGGATCTTGGAGTCTTAGTGGACAACCAGCCAAATATGAGCCAGCAGTGTGCAGCAGCAGCCAAAAAAGCTAATGCAATCCTAAATTGTATTAACAGAGGGATACAATCAAGATTAAGGGAAGTACTAATGCCACTCTATAAAGCCTTAGTAAGACCACACCTAGAGTACTGCATCCAGTTTTGTTCACCACATTATAAAAAAGATGTTGAGACTCTAGAAAAAGTACAGAGAAGAGCAACCAGGAAGATTAGGGGACTGGAGGCTAAAAAATACAATGAACGATTGCAGGAACTGGGCTTGGCTAGTCTAGTAAAGAGAAGGACCAGGGGAGACATGATAGCAGTCTTCCAATATTTGAGGGGCTGCCACAGGGAGGAAGGAGTCAAGCTATTTTCTAAAGCTCCTGTAGGCCAGATAAGGAATAGTGGATGGAAACTGAACAAGGAGAGATTTAACCTGGAAACAAGGAGAAACTTTCTGACAGTGAGAACAATCAACCAATGGAACAGCTTGTCCTTGGAAGTTGTGGGAGCGCCATCACTTGAGACTTTCAAGAAGAGATTGGACTGCCATTTGTCAGAAATAGTGTAGGGTCTCCCGCTTGGGTGGGGGGTTGGACTAGATGACCTACAAGATCCCTTCTAACCCTGATTATCTGTACCTATCTGTCTGAATCTCTGCAATTGTTAAACAAGTCATGCAGTACTGAAGCGAATGCAGCTCCCCATTGACTTTGCTTGTCAGAAGTCAGCTGAGAAGGTTGCAAAAGGTAATCTGCTCTGTCTCAGCTTGATTATCAACCTTGCCTGCTATTGTCTTTATATCCTCACTATTTGTTTCCCTCTGCAAATTATTTTCCCTCTAAGTTAATTTATTTTGCACACTTCTCCAAGGCTGCACCACATATTATTATGATCTATCTAAAATCGAATTTTCTCAACTGCTTGTGAAAGCAGCCCAGCACATACTTGAAAAGGTCACTTCCCAGACTTTTTAGCAGAAGAATGGTTGAGACTTTTTGGTGTATCTTTCTCTGAGCTACAATGTCAAAGACCAGTGACCACTATGGACAATTTGACATAGTTGGCTTTTTTGAAAAAGAAAAAGAAGAAAAAAAAAACCTTCTTTCTCATCTTCTAAATTAAATATGAGTCCTTCCAAAATAGCATGGCATTTGATGAAAAATATTGCTGTAAGCAAATTGTGTGCTTATGTCCTGGCACCACTGCTATTGCATCCTTCTTTCTGAATACCATAAAGCTTCCTGTGTAATGTTAAAAATAGCCTGTGGTCATAGTGTCTTTGGCAGTATTCAAAACCACACCTTAGTATGAACAATTCTCTTTCCTTCCCAAGCTTTTATGTAGAAACCATTTCACCTGCCACAAACAAAATAGTTTGTTTGGTTGTTTATTTATTTTTAAAAAAATAAAGATGTCAAACATGCATTTACTTATTTAAAAAGATTAAGGGTGTAGAATAAAATGACTCAGAAGACAGCACTTCTTTCCAATACATTGATTCTTTTCCTAATTTAATGGGAAAAACATCAGTGAAATTAGACCAAAAACTTTTTGAAGTTTTTTTCTTCTAAGAAATTCTTATTCAATACCATGAGAAATATGACAGACTGAAATTAACTGGAGATAATATATGTTAGGAAAATATGAAAGTATGCACACAATAAGTGATGCCTCTGTTTTTATCTTGTGCAGTGAGACCCCTGAAACTGTAAAAAAATGGGCTGAATCTTTTGACCAGCTGATTTCTCACAAAGGTTGGTATTGATGTTTTCAACTAGCATTATGCTTCATTACAGTTCAGCATCTTACAGCAAGGCTCAATTGTTTCATGCAAGTTATCTTTTCATTATTATTATTCTGTGATGAAAGATTAACCATGTATAAAGTGAAGAAGTCTATTAAGTTTGACTGTCAGATTGCTGTGAAAAATGGCCATGAATTTTGATCACTACCATAAAAGCTTAGAAGTATCGAAGCTTCAGTAGTGGAGAAAATTATTTAAGGAAGAAGTGGATATTTTATTAATCCTTAAAGACTAATATTAAATATGTTATGCAATGCACAATGAATAATTATGAAATGGAACTTGTGACTATTAACTTAGATATGAACTTCTAGCTAGTCCATCAATATCAATTATGATTCAGGATGTCAATATTACAAACAAAATATTTTTTTGTAATATTTGTGTTATTTATTTATTTTTAATCCAAAGTTGAGTACACCATTGAAAATGAAACAAAATGTCATACAATTTTTGAAGTTCAATTAAGGAAAAAAAAATCACTCAATGAAAACGGCTGTTGATTGTGATATCATCAGTCAACCGACCAATCATCTTCCTTTCCCATTTCCCAAGTCTTCCAAGCAAAGACTTGGTGCAGCTTTCAATTATTCTCAGTAATTGTACATTAAACTAGAGTTTCTAAATATGCCTGCAATGCTTATTTAATAATTATAATATTATACATTACCATGTTTACTGATCTTTTGCTGGCCCATAGTTCAATATGCATTAACTAAAGGCTGCCTTGTTGGGCCTCAGATAAAGTTTTGAGCAACCTGATGAAACCTGGCTTTAAAAAGTAGCACTGCAAATGAGTTAACCAGCATGCAAGCAATTTTTGAGTTAACACTTGACTCATGCCCATTGCACTGTGCATATGTTTGGACTGGTAGGATCTATACATAAGCTCCATTGGGTCAAAGGAGAAGGAAATACTATTTCTTTTTGCTGACCAGCCAATAGAAACCTCCAGAGAGATGGTCAAGTTTTGTGTTGTTGCTACCTTTGAGCAAAGTCTAATTGTTTAGATTCCCATAAGTTTTCTTTCCATGGCACTGAAAATATGAGTCCTTAATATGTGTTTGTGCAATTTTTATACAGGTTTTTATGTACTATATTCTGTATTCTAAACAATGTATTCATGTTAAGATATTGCTCCATGTCTATAAGATGTATTAAGATTTTCTATAAAATATAGGATATCATTACTGTTAATATATAAAAAATAGCTGTGTATTGGATTAAGAGTGATGAAACATACTTAAACACTATGCTATACTAAAGTAAACTTTACAACAAAACATTGTAATAAAAACTAAAGTGCTTGATAACTGGTGATAAGAAGCAATAAAATAAATGTATGGATAAGACTTGACTGAAATCAGAACATATTTTATTTATGGTTTCAAACTTTAGCATGATCCAACACAGCAGCTTTTTGCATTTTACAGTTCTTTTACTTTGTTGCCAATATCTATATGTTTTTCAGATTTACTAAGTTTCTTCTTGAGATAGATCAGCTAGAAGTCTATGAAGTATTGCAAATAGTATTTCTATATTTTTATTTCTTCCATTCAATTGTGTGTGATTCTCAGAGACTGCCTGGACAAATCCTGCAGTTATCTTGACAAGGTTACTCAGAAGTGATTTGCCATTGCCATCTTCCTAGGGCTGAGAGAGAATGACTGGCCCAAGGTCACCTAGCTGGCTTCATGGTCTCCCAGTTTCTAGCCTGATGTCTTAATCATTGCACCAAAATGATTCTCATCCAGTAATATAAGTGGAACCAAATCCTGCAGTCAAAATATTATCTAGAGCCAGTATCTAAAGATAAAACCAAATCTATAATCAATGTGAAGATTGAAAAATATTTGTGGATTATGGTGCAATTCTAAATCCAGTGCATATCAAATGGTTCTGTTGCAATAAACTACATTTGGATATATATGTGTGTGTGTGTGTGTGTGTGTGTGTGTGTGTGTGGTATTCAACTTTGTCTGGTATTTTCCCACTTCATTATAGTTGTATACTTGTAACGTCAAAACTTACAAGCAGATCTTCTTCAAAGATCTACACGTGGAGCAAGAAGATCTGCTTGTAAGTTTTGACGTGGTTTCACTATTCACTCAAGTCCCGATAAAAGAGACCCTTGAAATCATCAAAAATAAATACCAACCAGCTAAACACCTCATGGAACTAACAGAACACTGCTTAACCAACACATATTTCATATACAAAGGACAAAGATACAAACAAATAGAAGGAGCTCCCATGGGATCACCACTGTCACCTGTCATTGCAAACCTGTTCATGGAAGAATTCGAATCCAGAGCCCTGGCCAATGCCATCCTCAAACCCAAACTATGGTTAAGATACATCGATGACACATTCATGATTTGGCCCCATGGACAAGAAAACCTAAACAATTTCCTAACACACCTAAACAGTGCACACCCCAAAATCAAGTTCACCATGGAAACAGAAACAAACAAACAACTACCATTCCTAGATGTACTAATCTACAAAAAAACAGATGGCACACTAGGACACACCATATACCAGAAGAAAACACACACCAACCGCTACCTCAACGCCCAATCCCACCACCACCCAGCACAGATAAACTCCGTGGCTAAAACACTAATTACCAGAACCAAACGCCTGGCAGACAAGACACACATTAAGACTGAACTATGCACCCTGACTAAA